CAGTAGTGGACAAATGATACACAGAGAGCTGGCATTTTGGAGGACAGAGCAGAGTTCTGACTTAGTCTCCTCCTGCAATTATAGACATGAGGAATTTTGCCACCATGGGTTCATCTCTGCTGGTGTATAAAGATTAAGAATACAACTAACAGAAAAAACAGAGGTAGGAGAAAGAGAGAGAGAGACAGAGAGAGAGATTTTATGAAGGATAGTTGTAATTTCTACCCAAAGCAATTTTTGGTACTGCTAACAGTGTTAATTGGGGGTGAAATTGTGTAGACAACCTTGAGCCTTCTCCATGTCCTGATATCACACTATGTTGGTAACACATCACATTGTAACTTGCAAGGGCTTGGGGATTATATTTGTTTTGGAAGAAGCTGGCTAAAGAACAGTTCTGGAAGCCCCAATTAGGTGATTATATTGAAAGAACAACTTCTCTTCCTACCCAAATGAAGCACTTAATTCATAAGTCACTGCTGGAGTTCACCAATCAACATTTCCTTCCAGTTCCTTGGCCTTGCGCTGGAGAATGGTACCTTAGCCAAAGCGAACCCATGGCATAATTATAGCAGCATCTTGTTAGGAACATATCTATGCTCCTAAGTAATCCAGTTACTTAGATAACTTAGTCTGGCTTCACAAAGTTGAATAAGAACATAATGTAGAATTTCAGACAGTGAAATTACTTGAGAGGTGGTATGGGATTAAAATCCACATGGGCATAGAGGGTTGAGCTAGCTCATGAGTTCAATTCATTTATGAATGTGTAGGATCTAATAGGTATATTATTAACCTTTTAAAGTTGATGTCATTTATAAATTTTCATTTATGTCATAATCCTGGCTGAATGTGTGATTTTCCATGGTTTTATATTCTAAGCAAATGAAAATTGCTCTTTCCTCCATTTTTTAGTAAAATAGCACTAATAGGATAAGTTAGTGACACGGGACTACCGATCTGATTTTGTGTGTATTTAGTGGGTAGATATTATAGGGAGGCAGATTTCAAACTGATATCAGGAAAACTTTCCAGCATTGTCTTATCAATTGGTAAGCTATCCCACTGCTAGCAGGATTCAGTTAGTAACTCCCTATAACTAGATGATCCCTGCTAAGGATGTTGTAAAAGGGATTTATGCATTGCTGTGAGTTCTGGGCAAAATGACATTTTTGAGCTATTCTAGCTCTAAAAGACTATATGTACTACTAGTGGTTATACAATTAATACTATTAATACTACTTCTACATTTTGCTATTAATAGTAATAATCACCACCTGGTAAGCATCTATTATATGCTATATACAGTGCTAGGCATTTTACATATACATCCCAGGTCAGCGTCATATGAACCCTCTGTAGATATTATGCTCATGTTTGTGAATTAGAGACCTAACTGTTCCCTATATTTTTTCATATACGTTGTCTTGACCCCTTCTGTTTGATTGCAGACTCATTCTTAGGAGAGACGGCAGTGTTGTATACTTTGTATTATTCCTTACAGTTGTTGCCATTATAGAAGGGTGGAACAGATTTACCTAAAAAGTCATCTCTCAGTTCTTTTGTGCACCTCACCCTGACACATTCTTCAGAAGAGTTCTGAAACTTTGTTCCTTGAGTCAAACTTCTCACATGGCACATACATTGGAGTGGTTACCACAGAACAATGAGATTGTTCTTACTGAATGTTTTACATAGAGAAAGGGAAACAAGTAGAAGTTGGGAAAAGGAGGAACAATGGCCAACCTTTAATCACCTCCTTTTTCTCAGCAGGACAAAAATTCCCTTACTTGCTGGAGCATTGTTTGGTTGAGTATTTTGGCAGGGGAGGGGAGGAAATTTATTTGTGCTTGTGAATGACAAATCGTTGCTTTAAAATTATTGTTTTAACTCACTTGCATCAATGGTTCATATTATTTTGCTGTCCTAACAGATCTCTCTGTTAATGTCAATGGAATGATTACAGTGTCAAGATGTTTTACCCACTGAAATGTGATGTTTATGGCTTGACATATTGAAAATAATATTTGTTATATAAATGCCATGCATAATCATTTTTTTTTGGTTATTTACAGCAATGAGAAGAGAGTAACGTGCTGAAACCCTAAATGTCACGTGGCCTATGTAAGAGGTATTTTATGACTGCCTATACCATCATTATGATCAGTCAGCACTTCATCAGGGGCTTTCTATAGAATCATAGTTTTTATTATGGCTATTTGCATGCAATCACTGGTGTATTTACCATTTTCTGGGTTTTAATGTAATTGCAACTCAGGGAATTTGAAATCAATAAAGTTTTAGACAGGATATGCCGATTGGCTGATGAAAGTGATTTGGAAGCACAGATATTCTGTGAGGTATATCATCTTTGTTGAGTAATGTGGAGACTCAGCTCTGCCTCTGGAAGGTGTAAAGTTTTGGGCCCTAAAGAAGGGGGGCATGTGACTTACAAGGAATATTGCAGGGAGGCTGTTTTTAATCTGTGGACAAATATATGTAGATTCTATTTTAGGATCAGATCTGTGCTATAAAGGATGGAGAATGGTATTCATTCTTCCTTCCATATACCTAGGATGAAATGTTAATGTTAAAAGAGGACTCAGTGGTGAGCTGGTCTCACATTCTGATCTTACAACTAAAGAAGTCAAGAGATTAATCGAGAAGCCTGAAGTCACCTAGTCCCCATGTCTTTGACATCTTTGACTTCTAGCTCAGTGGTTTCTTTACACCTATAATCCTTTCCAAACTTTAGCATTCTTCAGTCTTATCAAAAATACCCCAAAGCCATGGAAATGGTTACTATAATGGAGATGCTACAGACTGAGTATTTTCTCAGCTTTCTGCCATCTTGGTATCTGTGGATCCTTGGGGAAGTTACTTAATATCTCTAAGCCTCAACATTCCCTTCTATAGAATGGGAAAGTAATAATTCTCCCTCTAATATGGTTGTAATAAAGATTAAATTAGCTAACCCATGTAAAGCATTTAAAACATTATTATTAATCCCAGTTCATTCTCCTTTAATAGTGAACATTTAATTGTGTATACATTTAAATTACATGAAGGGGCTGTTGCTCTATTGGAATTTAGGAGGACAGTAGTTAACTTCTTTTTGGCGTCATTATTTTGAGATTTCTTCATTCTTATCTGAAACATTAGTTGGGAATTTTTAATAACAAGTCTGAAAAAATATCTTTTTTGGATTACTTGAACGGAAGCTCAAGGAACACTGAAGCTTGTAAATTTTCAGTTCCATAGTCAAAAGATTTTTCTATCATCTTTAGAATTATGTTTTTAAAGTCGAGTAGGAATCGAATTTTCCAAATATTCATAATATTGCTTAAAAGTGGTATGTGTTTGGGTGTTAAAGGAACTTTCTTTATAATCTCTTTAAATACCTTAAATGTAGTGAATCATAGGTTTTTGGACCACCATGGGCTTGTCAGCTTAGCACAGAACACAAGAGGTATTCAAATCTTGCTGATGTCATGGATTTCTTTTTAAAATTTTGATTACACATTTGAAGTCCTGATTATACCCTAAGGATTTATGTGCTTATGGAAAGTCAAACTATGAATTACAGTATTACAGGATATTTTCCACTTCATCAGATTAGTTTCACTCTTCATTCCACAAATATGTTTTGTAAAATTTCCCAATTTCTAGAAAACTTTGATACTACATTACAAAAGGGTACTTAAATATGGATGAGAAAGATAGATGTTTGCCTTTCCCTTTTGATATTGTTGTTAAATAAAAGATGGAATGTTTTTGTTTAAAACCAATCCCTCATTCCACCCTGCCCCCCTCAACGCAATAAGTAAATGGCATTGTGAACAAAGTCTTCCTTTAGAGCTGCTATTCATTTTAAGTGCGTGTTAGGAAAAGAGTCTACTCTGTGTGTAAAATCTAGCAAAAAATAAGAGAATTGTAAATAGAAAAATAAAACATGTAGAGGAGACAAATATTCTGTGCACATAGTTTTAGAATCCCAATGGGGAACACTTGTCAGAAAGAGAGACTACACACTTGTTAAGTTAAACATAAATTCCCAAAGAGTAACACTCCAATATGTTAATTTGCCACAATAGATTTACCCATTGAAATCAGTCCACCAGTCTTGCCCAGGAAGTAGGATCTTAATTTTACCATCTAACAGTTGAATTGAGATAGAATAAAGACTTTCACATAAATATCTTAGTGATGTAGACTTTCCTGGATTGCAGTGGTGTACCTACTCAACATTCAGTCAATTCACAGCTAATGAAACTCTTTGTAAGTGTTATCTCCTCACACAGTAACAGGGTCTTAAATGGAAAAGGGCTCTGTTCATTTTCTATTCAAATCACAGGAAGAGATTACAGAATCGGTTGATGAAAACAGCTTATTTTTGGAAATCAGTTAAAAAATCTAAAGTTATGAATAGAAAATAATAAAAAAGAAATAACTGTCTGGGTTTCTGCCCTTCTTTACAGTGATATGGTAGAAATATAAGGAAAATGGTTCACATCCTTTAGTTAGGAAATCTGGTCCCTTCACTTGCTACAGGGCTCAGTTTTGAGTAAGAAAAGAAAGAACATTTTTGGCTGCAGCTTTAGTAAACAATGAATGATGAAAAATATTGCAGAAATATCTTCAAGAGATCTGACAATTGAGAACACAGACCTTATCACATGGATATTGTCTACATTCCTCCACGTAGCTTGGCAAATGAATGACTGAGCCCTGTTTTGGTGGAACGAGAGAAGGAACTACTAGTTCCAGCATCAAAACAAGATTATGAAAACAACCAACCAACACAAAACAGTTATTTCTTCTCCTGAATAATAAAGACATCATGTTTGCATATAGGACAGCTTTTGCATTATTGCTCTACGTATAAGAATATATTAAGGAACTCATAACAGACTACACATTACAAACTTAAGGTTCTTTGGTGAAGAATGAAAGGAAACAGTATTTGAGCTTTAAAGAAAATGATCTCATCCCCTTTGCTTTTATCTATTGATCCGTTGGATCCTCTCACAGAGCAGGGAGAGGTACTGTGTGAGTTTCACCATGGCAACGATCACCACGCCCCCAGCCATCATACATGTTGGCCAGAACAGTGAATGGAACAGCACGTTGGAACTGTAGAGTTTGGTTAGGATGACACTCTTCTGGTTTCCTTCTGGGTCAGAAAAGCAGGAGAAGTGTTGATACTTCCTGAAGTTTTCCATGACAACATTCACCAGGGACATGGATTCTTCAAAATTTTTTCCACACTTAGGTATATAGGAGCACTGTGGAAAATGAGACAACCTGTCACGAGAAGATACTTTCTCCGTGTATATATGTATGCCTGGTACTAGGAGGGGATAAGATATTGAGGTCACCTTAATGTGAAATAAGCATGATGATTATTCTTTTTGTATTCAAACCAGTGCCTCCAGAAACCCCAAGACCTCACACAGTAAGGAAAACAATGTTTTTAGGTACTTGAATCAGAAGGACCTAAATAGTTCACCCATATATAGTTTGATTATTAATTAGACTTGGATGATTCCAGTGGATTCTTTTTACTATAGCATGATGAATTTTAATTATTCCCTACCAAACACACTTTTCTATGGAACCAGAATGTCAATTTCTGTCTTTTGTCTATCCATGGCTGCCCATGTAATATCACAAGCTACCAGTTCTGTCAGGGAAAGTAGTTTATTCTCTTTTTGGCTTGGCTTACTTTACTCAGCCAAGTCACCTTGTTCACCTTGCTATAGTAGTCAAGGAAACAGCTATACCTGGTGAATTGTTGGAAAAGAATCCTGGAAAGGGTAAAGATGTTGACTAGTTAAAGAGCCGTGATGAATTGTTCATGCTCAGTGAGCATGATGGCATGACAAAGTAACTTTTTCCATAAACCAGGGAAAAATACAACAGAACCAAATGAGTTTACTCTTCAAGCAGTGCTCATCTGATAATTTATACTATATTTCCTTTAATCTTTCCCCTCTCTTATCTTTCTGATTATATCTCTTCTACATGTCTCTCCTTTCCTCTTATATACTTATGTCCTTGAATTTCTTTCTTTGTCTCTTTTCCTTCCCTGCCTGTCCTGACTCCTCACCTCACTCTATGTTTTCCCCTCTGTTCCCTCTTCATGTCCTTTTTCTTCCTTGCTTCTCTACATACAGATGGAATTAACGAACTTTGAGTTTTTATTATTGCATGTACTTTAGAACACACTTTTCCTAATTTAAAAAGCGGTCTTCAAGGAGATGAAATCTTTGTTACCCTTTCTCCTTGGTCTGTCAATGAGCAGTGACAAAACTGGTTTTTTGAAAAGTTAGGGAAAAAGTGATTGAAAGAAATCTACTCAAACCACCTCCCGCCATCCCACCCCAGCCACCCTTACAGACAAATCTCACAGGTGTCTGCACTTGGCCCCAACTCTTTGTTTTTCTAGATCATAGGGCCCTACATTCTTAAAAAATTGACCCCAACTACAAAACATATTCTTCTCTAGCTTGACCACAACACACATCACAGATAAGCCCCAGTCAGAGCCCCTTGAGAAACCTGCTGCCTCCTGCTCTACTGGCCAAGAGTCAACCCCTGACCCCCACAACCCCCCACCACCAGGGGTGTAGCTACAACCCTTTCACATCCTTCAAAATGCCTTAAAAGGCCCAACCTAACAGAAATGGGGGGCTGACCCCTCTCCTCCCTTGAAGAGTGAATGAACTCTGTCTTGCTTATTGCTCCACTCTGTGCAATTCTTTGCCATCTGTGTTGCTGGCCACCCCAACAGTGATTTAAGTCACTTTCCAGGGAGATGTGTGAGTCTTTAGCTAACTCTTTCCCCTCTTTAGCATAATTGCGTTTCAACAGGAAAAAAAAAATCCCTTCCCATTGTTAAACATAATATTATTAAATGATTAATTTAACCAATTTTTCTGAATTGAATCAGTTTGTGACAACATCACTGCTAATCTATATAATGTTTTGGTGTGAATTAGACAGCTATGCCCCTTCTTTGGAACACTATTATTTTTCTGTTGAAAAATTGTCATAATACACTTACTTTATGGGAAAACCTCACATATTTTACTGCTATTACCAATTTATAAGTTGTGCTTACAAATATTCACATCTGTGACTTTTTACAATGTGACTGGTACCCCAAAGGTTGTGCAGTGCACAACTCACACAACTGTATGTGGAGAAACGAAATGAGGTGGGGAGTGGTTGAAATTTGAGGTACATTGATGGAAGCTTTGAGGGTAGGATCCTGCATTTCCAGAACAATTTAGACCTGTAGATTTCATAGGAGAAGAAATATAAAAGAAATGGAATGAGTTTTGCTAACAGTGTAGGTTTAGATTATTCTTTTCCCTTACTTTGTTTATAGTGCTGTAATCATTGGGTTCTTTGACTATAAACAGCATGAAGATTCTTACTTAGTTAAGAATGAAGATTGAGTATGTGGGTATTTATCGTAAACCAGGCTTAAAGTAATGTTCTCATAGCAGGGCTGGTTAACACCTTCCAGTGTAACCAACTAAGAAAAAGTATGAGTACACTCATACATATGAGTACAGCAGATACACTCATAAATATGAGCATAGCTGAGAGCTGGCACGAGAACGTTAAGGGTCTGAAAGTATTTCCAAAAAAGAAGAATTTCTCAGTGAGTTTCAACTTAGTACAAAATTAGCCGATGACTCCATGAAACAAATTTTCTACCATTTGGACCCCTTTTGGATCAAAAGAGCTTAAGGCAGGATGGAGATACCTACCTTCGTTATTTTTTTCTTCTTCAAAGCTTCCTCTTGTCTTTATAGTTTTAAAAATGTTTTCTGAAGCAAAGTGTTAACGCCATCACAGACAAGCCATTTGTGGTTGAATTCGAACAGAGCCAATTTAGATCATAAGTCTATCAGGCTTCTGTATATATTTGTGCCAAGACAGTTTATGGTAGCAGTTTCAGTAGTTATTAGTAAGAAGTATTGAAATGATCTCAATAATGGCACTCCACTAAAAATGGAGTTTTTCTTTTCTTATGCTCTTGTGGATTGATTTGGCTTAAAACATTTTTTTTGAAGAAACATTTGTCAGTCAAATGACAATAATTCTGTCACTAGGTAAGATTCATTCAAGTAAAATGAGATGTAAAGTATTAAAAAAAATTTTTAATTTATTTTGAGAAAGAGAGAGAACAAGCAGGGGAGGGGCACAGGGAGAGGGAGAGAGAGAATCCCAAGTAGTGTCCTTGCTGTCAGTGCAGAACCAGATTCAGGGCTTGATCCCAGGAACCATGAGATCATGACCTGAGGTGAAATTAAGAGTCAGATGCTTATCTGACAGAACCACCCAGGCATCCTGATATAAAGTACTTTTGAGACTGTCTAGCAAGGACCTAGTACAGGTTTAATACTCCTTATTAACGGTTCAAACCATCAGGGTCTCAAATATGTTTTCTGGAATGGGCAGATAAGGCATGTTCTATACAGATCAGACTCACTCTGCCGCATGTCAATCATTGATTTACTTCTATTATCGATGGATCCTTCTTTTGTCATAACCAATGCATGAGGTGTGTAATGAGCCAAAGTTGTGTTCAGGAGACCTGGTTACTGTGTATCTATGGGCAATTTACTTGGCTCCTCAGAATCACCTTTATCTGTACAAAGGGGTTAACAGCCCTCTGGACAGGGTTTGTGTGAAGAGTAAATGATGAATATGCCTAAAGCCTCAATAAATTTTCATTTATATACTTTCTTATGGGAATATCACATTGTCCACATGATCTTCTAAAGTCTCTAACCAAGTGCCACGTATTAAAGTATGATACTTCTAAGGAGGGCAAAATTATTAGTTACATGGTTTTCACAGGGGCAGTGCTGTTCGATGGCTTTTATGTTATGGTCCTTGCTTTTGTGTCCCAGGAGACTTGACATTATGCTGAATCCCACACTAGGATTCCAGGTTTCTGTTTCTATGGCTCAAACTATAGCCATGTGTACATTCCTGAGGCTGGTATGAATTTGGGAGTGAAGGTTTAATGACCTTATGATTTTATCACATGCTTGAAGAATCATTTTCTCTGATTGGTTTAGGATACACAGAATGTGTTTCAGCAAATGGAAACTTTACTAAGTGAGCTATGTTTATTTGGAAAATATAATATAGATTGAAAAGATAAAAATCACAGCATTTTACAGCATTCTTGTTTTAGTGGGAGGTCTGGGATAGGAAAGACTTAACTTTTAGACTCTGCATGATATATAACATAAAGGAACATATGAGTAATAATTTTATGTACAAAAGACACTTAAGTACCAACCAAAATATGTTAATATATGTGTTTTTACCATGGCCTTGAGTCATTCTTTTTTTGTGTTTAACATAAGAATATATAAACCTTGCAAACCTCTGAGGTGCTCACTCAGTGGAAGACATAGTCTCCCACACCTCTTCTCAATCCTGGGTTTTGTTAACAGCCTTCTTTGCTTTCCCACATCCCTTAAATTCGCTTTAGTATTGAAAACTATGGAGTGGGCTTGTTGGTATGACCTTTCCTCTCCTAGCTAAGGAAGCCTGCGTGCTGGTGACTTCACTTGTGCCCCTGACATGGTGATGAAGATCCAGAATTTCATATTTTCTACAATTCTTTGAAAAGCGACTGAAAATTTTCATTTCTGAGACTGAAGATTCTCAGTTCCAGAATCTTTTACATCACTGGAGTTATTTTTATTCTGATGGTGGACAGAAGTTTTGAGAAACTACCTGTTGGGCTTTGCTTAGACATGCTTTGCTGGGAATGTATGGAGTAAACAGTGGCAGACCTTCACTCTAAACATAAAACGTGTGGGGAGAAGTGGGGGGAGGGCAGTGGGAAGGGGGTGGTGTGGCTGAGTAACCTCACTGGCCAGCCTATTTTTTAAATAATGGTAGGAAAGAGGCTATCAATTCTCTGGATCGCCTCAAGCAAAGGGTTTATTCTTCATTTGTTCTTTTATAAAAAGAGAAGGGTTTTTATTTCAGAGAGGGGTTAGAAATTTAATGAAATCCAATCAATGTTGAGTGTGCTAATGTGCTGGATAGCATGCTAGACACAGGCATCAAAAACAAATAATAGGGGCACCTGGGTGGCTCAGTCAGTTGAGCATCTGACTTTGGCTCAGGTCATGATATTGCGGTTCATGAGTTTGAGCCGGCATTGGGCTTTGTGCTAACAGCTCAGAGCCTGGAGCCTGCTTCAGGCACAGATTCTGTGTCTCCCTCTCTCTGTCCCTCCCCC